GAATGTTGCTCTGGGATTCATTGAGGGTACGTCTGTGTAGCACGGTCCGACTCCTGCCATCAGCAGGCAGGACTGATCCTGAGATCTCTGGAGCTTAGCGTACGAGCCCCTACTACATGAGCTAAAAGCCATGTTGCCCTCCACTAAGGCTGTAGCAGACTCATTAGTCTTTAAGTGGTCTACATGAGACAGAACACCCTACCCAAGAGGTGTGTGAGTTACCACGGCAACTTAGACTCTTCCTAGATCCCACCTTGACTAGCTAACATGTCCAATCTACAACCAGTCCTATCGATATTGGGACCATTAATTGGTTAGCAGTCATGTGTCAGCCTTTTAAACACACACCTTTTTGCTAGCATCGATGGCACCCTGAGAGAGTAACCACGGCGTGATGCCATTGATCAAGGCTCAATTGTAACAGGACGACAGAACAGGGTGCGTTTTAGGGGGAAGCAGTTTTCATCCTGTAGGCCCTCAGAGCGCTGCATTTACTGAAGCAGACACACTAAGACAATCGCGTCAGCTCTCATAGAGAGGCTCCAGCCAGCCTGAAACACAGCAGCTGGTCCAGAGTGCACGGAAACACCACCAAGAAGTTGAAGACCGAAGTGAAAAGACTCTTTTCCAGCTGACCCGGTGTAAAGACCTCTGGAGAGTGGAGCCGGAATGATCTGACACCAGGACACATGGTTACAACCTCAGTTCTTGGGGAAAATGCCATAGCCTTGCTTGTAGAAAGCATTTACATACAGGAGAACTGCCTGCTATTGATACTGCCTTCCAACTCTTGCATCACTGCACCTGTTTGGAATGCCCTTCCTTCAAACCCCATTATTGCTGCTTTGGATTACGTGGCGAGATCCAAATGAAGAGCATTATGAGGTGTTTGCTCAACAGAGACTAGGCCTGCTTTCACCACGCAATTAAAGTTAGCGGTAGTGATAATTTTGTCAAACTGAGAACAACAGCTCATTTTATGCAGGTCCCCAAACGAGGATGAGTTGATAATTTGAGTCATAATTCAAGTTGTGTGAAGCGCCCAGTTTTACTTTGTAAGGGATCATGAGAACTTTTTCTTTGATTTTGATCTTTTGCAGTTTTTATATCTTGAATTTTAAGGGCCAACAAACCCTGGAGCAGAAATAAAACTCAGTCGAAGTCCTAAGTTCCATGTTAAAAGCACTATGAAAGGATGATTTTTGACACAAAGCCAAAACTTGGTCAATGTTCCTGCAAACATTTGACTAATGTTTGAGGGTATAAGATACCTCAAGAAGTTTCATTGCAAGCATTTCACACAGCTCTGCTCAGTACTGAAGCTGGTATGTGAGCGATGACAAAGTATTTCAGATGCCTGATCCATGCAGTCCTACCTACAAGCTTCAAGTTGTTTGAAAAACAAGATATCAGTAGGGTTTAGGCAAAACTCTTCAAGGGTCAGACACTCAGCTGATATAAATCATTGCATTAATGGGGTTCAGTGATGTTGATATTCATTAGCTGAAGATCTGACCTTAAGAGTTCAGAAATTCTGAACATTTATCGTTTGCTTCCACTGAGGTATTTTCCCTTCACATCCTTTTCCCAAGTCAGGGCAGGTCTGTACCACATGGGCAGGCTGATCTAAGGTATGCAATTTGAGTTACGTTAAAAGTGGTAACTCAAATTGACACAGGCTAGATCTACTTACTGCAAGATCCACACTGTGGGGGGCAGGGGTCGACACCAAAAACTCTCCTGTTGGCTCCCCTTACTCATTTCCTTCTATTGCAGTACTGGAGTCGACAGGAGAGTGATCAGCAGTTGATTTAGTGGTTCTTTACTAGACTCACTAAATCAACCGCTGGTGGATGGATTGCTGCAGTGTAGATACACCCCACAGTGGAGACAAGCCCGCCGTCTTCCTTTTCCCTTTTCTCTGGACCCGATCTGTGATGATCATTTCCTTTCGCCATCTTTCACAGAACTGTAAATTCTCTGGACAACTCCTATTTTCCCTTTTTCCTCATTCTCTGATGCTTCTTTTTTCAAGCCTCTCATACAGCATGTTGGTACTTTAAAATCTTGGAGGCTCTCTATATTTCCAAGGTCAGATTATCCTCCAAATTTGTCGCATCCAGCTTTGTTATTTCTCACATCAAGAATCCATGAGTGTCTTATTTTCCCAATTAACAAAAGTAATTAAAATATTAATTGCTGGGTAATCTGCAGCATTTAGATCTCGATGTTAGATATTTTTTAAAAGTAAAAAAAAGAAAAAAAAATCCTGGGCCAGACCCTCTGATGATGTAAATCAATTGCTGTTCTACTGATATTAATAGAGTTATACCAATTTACAATCAGCTAAGGATCAGGCCTCACGTGATTACAATTGCCAAGGCTCTATGGAGCTGTTATTATAGGACTGATTGTCCCGTCAAAGAGAGGGGAAAATCACTGGTTTCCTGCATTTTTCATTCTAATAGAGATTTTGTAATACTTGAGCTTTTGGGGCATTTTTTAATTAAATCAGCCCTCACGTTGTATATTGGCACCAAATGAAAGGTTTTC